GGTCTTTTACCCAAAAATGAAGACGTCCACCAAAAACTTCGCCACTACAGATAGCATATTAGTTATATCCTGCAGTCAGTAGTTATGGCACGAGGGAGCTCAAAGCAAGAAGCGATACAGTTCTCCATAGGTGTGATTCCCAAGGCTTTTTATATTCAGCTATCGAGCCGTCCTGTTGAATCCATGAGGGCTTAGAAGCCGTCTGTTCCAGTGCGCAGCCCTTCCACGTCGGGCATACGATGTAGTGAGCGCAACACCGAGGTCACATCGGCCACGTTAGGACCAGTGTTTGGGGAGTAGTCTTCCTGCTTTATTTCACCGCATTTATGAAAGATCCTGTTGGTCGCGTGATCAAAACAAAGCTGCCTCTGCGCGTTCCGTCATCAGATGCTCCCGCGGGGGATGGGGGAGTAGGGCGGAGAAAGGAAGGAGTTGTATCATTTTTTTCGGAGTTCCCTCATATCATACGTATTGAGGATACTTGGCATATATATATATATATGCATATATATATATATATATATATATATATATATATCACAACTGTTTGCGAGGCAAAACTTAAAAATAGTATCTGCAAATTAAAGCAATAGATGGCAGAGGTTTTACAGTTTGGTCGAAGTACCTCGATAATTCCATAATAGCATTACGACCAGACTGTAAAACCAGTTATCCATCGTTTTGATTACCAGGCACACGGTGCGCAAGCTTCACCTCGGAAAAACAGTGAGTTTTGCGCAGGCCACAGGGGGACCCACCTGCGGGGAAAAGCTGCATCGGCCCTAAACTCCTCGTTAGTTTTTGGTTTATTTGGTCTATTTGATGGTAAATAGTGTATGTGGCACAGCCTGCCATCATCGCTGCTGAATTTCATGTATCTCATTACACTAATGGTCACCAATGAATCTTATTCACGTCTGTTGCCCCCTTCGTCCCCAAAATAAGGGCCGAATGGCTGAGGCCGGGTTGGCGTGGTGAAAAACGCAGCTTAAGCAAGTTCGACTTCAGTTGCGCTTGGCGAGGCAGGTTGACGGCTGGCTCGCTTGTAGGAGTTGCACCTGCATTCCGCGTCCTGGATGAAAGCAGCGATCTTCCTCCCCATATTTCCAGTTCATCGCAGCGACTATATATATATATATATATATATATATATATATATATATATATATATACAAATATATACACAAATCATAACTATAAAAAGCTGCCATCAGTTTCGCAGCCCTGTCTCGCAAATCCAGCTTCTCTGGGTCGGATTACAATTGAGCTGTCAAATAATTTCAGCTACAGTGCTTAGAGAAGTTCCATTGCCCTGCCGCAAAAGGCCTGTTTTCCTATGCTGATGACTTTGCTGCCTTGTGCCGGTGAACCAAATGTCCTGAGACGGGGCACCGATTGGCACGTAACGGACCGACGGGCGGGCTGCCCGACATCTGAAGGTCAAACATCAGCTGGGTGGTCAGACGACGCTGCCGGTGGCCATGGACGTCATCACTGCTCAAATGATACCACCGTCATATTCTGTCTTGGTGCCATTAAATATAGCCAAAACGCAAACAAATCGTCTATTTAGAGGAAAGGGCCCGGAGTCCGGACTCCACCGGCCCCGGCCGTAGCTCTACCCGTATCTATTCCTTAGCGCCTGGGTCCACCGACCCCGGCCGTGGCTACCCATATCTGTTGTTCGACGCCTGGCTCCACTGACCCCGGCCGTAGCTACCCGTATCTGTTGCTCGACGCCTGACTCCACCGACTCAGGCCGTAGCTACCCGTATCTGTTGCTTTGCGCCTGACTCCACCGACTCAGGCCGTAGCTACCCGTATCTGTTGCTTGGCGCCTGACTCCACTGACTCAGGCCGTAGCTACCCGTATCTGTTGCCTGGCGCCTGACTCCGCCGACCCCGGCCGTAGCTACTTGCAACTGGTGCCTGGCACCTGGGCTGTCAAGAATTCTTTCACATCCAACGTTACAATATGAATTGCCCGTGACTTTGAAATATGCTGCAGAGGATAGGTACTCAACATCTTCCACTGAAGGGCTAAATGTGGTTTAAGACATACAAGATCCGTTAGAACCGACGATGAAGATATCCATTCTCAACCCTTAGTCTCCGCATATTCTGGTCATGGCTGGTCTGCGTCAACTGACATTGGCGGGGCGGCTCGAGCCAGCCCAATTCCCGTGTTCAGGCGGCTGGGGGACATTATTACTCACTGGAGCACATGTCACTCTCTGGGAGACGGACCGCTTGCCCGATCAGGGCCGGTCCAGGGACACGAGGTGACCCGAAAAACACAGCATTCGGAGTATTAAACAGACACAATGGTAGAAAAACCCGCTTGAGAACGGTGCTTCGGTGTGGCTTTCCAAAGAACTTTGGAAGTTTTAGCAATGCGCCATACTGCCTCACTATTCTACAGGCGTATTTCGCTTTACAGTATATGTAATGATTGCCCAGTGTCGGTGGGAAGTATGTGCCACCGAGTCGTGCATGCCGGGAAAGCTTGGCAGAAGCTATCAAGCGCGTCCCGTGCCTCCACCTCATTTATTTAATGTTTGTGAAGTGTGGTCCGGCTTCTGGGGAACTCGGCCATCCTTTCGCGTCCCCCAGAGTGCCCGCGTGTCTCTCCTCTCTTCAAAACCCGACCATCCACACACGGTTCGGTTTTCTCGCCACCTGTTTGCCCGCACGGTCCCCCCCCCCCCTAATGGTTATCCCCCCAACGCTCCGAATAAGTACCCGTTCGCCTTCAGTGGGGACAAAAAATGAAGCACAATGCGAGCTCTCCGATTCCTGAAATGTTGAGCATTTACGGTCGGTCACGGCCAGTTATAAAACCACAGCCAAACTTTGTGTTGCTGATGAAGGCAATCATTTTCTGGCCACGTGACACGGGTTCCCCAGGCCCTAGAACGTCAGCGGTTTGTCCAACTGGAGTTCAGCAGCCTTCGGCACGCATTTTTGAAACCCTCGCAATGAACACGAGCGAATCATCCCAGCGGGGTGGGTTACGGGGCGAAAAACTCCGTTGGAGGCGTGCCCGGCTCCATGTGAAACGTCTGAAACTTCCGGCTGACACTGTGGTCCTCTAACCGATGTGAGCGCTCTGAGTAGACTCCCGACTAACGCTATGCACCCATCGTTGGCATAACCACTGCGATCACTAGCGCTCCACAAGGGGGTTGCAGGACAACGTACGGACTAATCGAAAAACGACGTGGCGTATGTGGCGCTACCCTGGTGCTAGCGTCCCCCTTGTTGCCTGGCCGGGTGGACTGACTCTCCCACCGTCAGCTCCCCCGCGACGAGTGCGCCTAATTAGCGGGCAGACACCGCTGCTATTTGTGATACGGGGCAGATATTTCTCCATTGCTATCGACAGCGCGCGCTTTTTCTGGCGCCTCCGTCGGGTAAGCCGAGCCGACTCGAGCGCGTCGCCACGGCCAGCGGCCGCTGATCGGGCCGCTTTTTCAGCGGGTCGCCTGTTCTCCTCAATCAAATGCTGAACAGACATTAATTACCGCTAAAATAGTCTACACCAATTACCGCGGACGTGGAGCGCAAACAGGCGGCCCCGGTCCGTTCCGCGCCGCCGGCGCCCGTTCCGGCCGGCGCGGCGGCGCGTTCCGCCCGGCCGGGCCGCGCCGACGCCGGCAGACGTCGCGCCGGCGCCGACGGACGCCGCGTCGGTAACGACGGAGAGGGCGCGAGGCGAGGTGCGCGCGCGGGTGTGGAGGGGTGAGCCGCGGGGATGCAAGACCCCACGAGTTGGAGGGTTCGCGCAGGGCGCTGGGCGGATATTAAGTGGAGCTAAGGGAGTAACGAACAGGACTGATACTGTACGGAGCGGCAGCGCGGCGTGGAGCTGGAGGGATACTACCAGGACGGATAATATAACGGCCTGTGCGACCCGTGCATTTGCTACGCTGGGCAACGGCCAATGTCGATGGTATGAACCTGACGCGAGACTCCACACAGGGGCCAGCGGACGCGCCAGAGCGCCCAACAGGCACCAGCGGGACGCGCCACACCAGCAACGAAGGCCGCTCACTAACTGAGGCAACAGCGAGAAGTCGCGGGTCTTTCAGCTAGGACGCTGTTGGCAGATGATTAGGTCTGGCATGACGCATGAGACGTCTCGCGATTTACCGTTGTGAGCCGTTTCACTGTTAATCTGCCACCTATGGCGACAGGCATCAGAGTCGTGGAAGAGCGGCCCGGAGACATCAGAGTACACGGACGTCGTCGACTGCCGTTGGGTGAGCCACAATTGCGTCGGAGTCTGAGTGCCAGCCAGTGGTCGAACCGCCGCATTGGTGCCGGTCCCACGCACGCCCCGCTACCCCTGTCTGGTGGTCTGGGACTGCTGATGACGGGCTGGCGGCATCGGCGGTGGTGCCCGGTGTCACAACCCACGCATCGGCCTCATGCGCTCACCTTCGACTTGCTGCTCGTCCAAAACGTGACTGAATTCGATCGTCGGAGATATCTTGCATATTCCGACTGGCACATCTCGCGGGTCGCCTCGCCGTCCACTCCAAACGCCACAGATGAAAATTTATGTGTATGTGTGCAATTGAACATCAACACTCTTCCAAATCTTGTACTTTAAACGTTTACGATCCGGTTCCAAAGCTTCGATGGAGAATCCCGCTGGAAACCAAAGCCGACAACCCCACCACGCTTCCTGAAGCCATGCATTCGGGCGTGCCAGCTCTAGCGGGGCACGACACACATGAGTGATGTTCTAGCGTTAAAAACAAATGTCCAAACCGTCGTTACGAAGGGAATTAATGGTAAAAATACACGGGAGCGACGCATTGTTCCGATCCGGCCACCACGACTTTTGTCTCGCTTACACAGCTAGAAACAAGGCGTTCTGATCCACGCACAGTGGTGATTACACCGGCCACGTACACGCACACACACACACAACGACGCAGGTACAAATCAATAGCCGTGGAACTAGCCGGCGCGCCTCGCCCAGAACTAAAAGTAACCTCGCCGAGTTCGCCGCCGCGCTTGGTTACACACAAGAACCGGGTCCGCACGCGCGCGCGCCGCTCGGGCGGGGGTCGGCCGTGACCTTCCGACTGACGCCTCGCTGTCGGGCGGCGGCGCGCCCGCGGCCCGTGCGGAGATGCGATGGAAATGTACGCGCAGGTGGTGCCATCTGTGGCCGCCTAGGAGCGGCCGTAGTTGCCGCCGGCGCCGCCCTGCGAGCCGTACGACCCGGACTGGCCGTAGCCCTGCGCTCCCGGGGAGAACGGCCGGTTAGAGCACGATAGCGATGGAACGACAGCGGCAGCCACGCAGGTCTCCAAGGAGATCAAACGACCAGTTAGCGCACGCATGACGCGATCCTCCAGTCCCCTACATCACACGGCGCATACGCTGGTCCAGCTCCCCCCCCCCCCCCCCCACACACACGTGACGGACGGCGCTCAACACCACGGTCGATTCACCATAGCCAGTTGTGCCCATGCCGCCACGATCGGGCGCCCCGGAGAACGGCACCTCGGCTGTACGCGACCACTACGTACCTGACCGTAGCCCTGGTAGTATTGGCCGTAGCCCTGCTGGCCGTAGCCGCCCTGCTGTCCGTACTGCTGGCCGTAGCCGCTCTGGCCGTACTGCTGGCCGTAGCCGGCCTGTTGGCCGTACTGCTGGCCGTAGCCGGCCTGCTGACCATATTGCTGGCCGTACTGCTGGCCGTAGCCGCCCCAGCCCTGCTGTCCCCACTGCTGCTGGTAGCCGCCGGACCAGGGCTGCGGCTGCTGCTGGCCCCACTGCGGGCGCGCCGCCACACACAAGCAAGGTCACGCACCACGTCTCAGCCGGCTGCTGGCCTCACCAGGCCACCACACATACAATCAACGGTCGCCTCACCAGGCCACTATACATACGACCAGCAGCCGCCTTACCAGGTCACCACACATACAGCCAGCAGCTGCCTGGCCCGAGACCGGGCCATAACATGCCAGGCTCCGTCACAATGGGAACACCGGTCAACATTCATCCCGGCACCCGACACGGTGCCGGTAGGCAGTGGGAGATTGGAACGACGCACGGCACCGGGACAGCGTAGTAATCCGATCCAGATGACCCCCCTTACAGACCCGCAAACTACACCTTCGCTCACCGCACGGCCACAAGCCGCCGTCGAGCCCTCCTCCTCCGGACCCACAAAATACTAAACAAATCGGCCCCTCGTCCCGCCCGGCCGCGCACTCACGTTGCCGCCGCCGCCGCCGCGGTAGTTGTCGCGGCCGGCGCCCCACCAGCCGCGCCAGGTCGCGGTCGCCGCCGCCGCCGCGCGCGCGGTTGTCGCGCCAGTTGCCGCCGCCGCCGGCGCGCGGCCCGTCCCGCCAGCCGCCCGGCCGGCCGTCGCGGTCGTAGCGCGGCCCGCCGGCGCGGTCACGGTGGCCCCAGTTGTTGCGGAAGCCTGCACCACGGCCTGCCGGCCGCCCCCGTTAGTGGCTGCCACGCGCCTGCGCCAGGCCGGTCGCCGGCGGAGCACCGCTCACTGCCCGGCTGTGGCTGACTGCGAGGGGTGAGTTGTGTGCTCGCCGTTGGCCGTGGTTGCCCGGCTGCGGTTGACTACGAGGGGTGGGTTGTGTGGTCGCCGTTGGCCGTGGCTGCGCGGCTGCTGTTGACTACGAGGGGTGGGTTGTGTGGTCGCCGTTGGCCGTGGTTGCCCGGCTGTGGTTGACTACGAGGGGTGGGTTGTGTGGTCGCCGTTGGCCGTGGCTGCGCGGCTGCGGTTGACTGCGAGGGCCGGATTGTGTGGTCGCCGTTGGCCGTGGCTGCGCGGCTGTGGTCGACTACGAGGGGTGAGTTGTGTGGTCGTCGTTAGCTGTGGCAGCGCGATTGTGGTTGACGGAGTGGACGCGGCCGTGCGGCTACGTCGATGAAGCGGTACATGTCAGTTGTGTGAGCAGTGGCGAGAGTGGTAATGGTAGCCAGGGCGGCTGGACCGCTATGTTCCGAGCGGACAAGCACAGTCAGTTCTAAAAGTAGGCAACATTAGAAGACGCGTGCACGTAGCATAGCCCAGACACAAACATAAAACAATGACAAAAGCATCCTAAGCACACACGCATTGAGGTGCGCCTTATGAGTGGTTCCCCACTTCACATCATTCGGTGACAAACTGACAGCGAACTGCTGACGCACGCCTGACTCGGCCCGAACGTCGGCAGCTTACCGCCGCGCTAACCCACAGAGCGGCGCACGCGCTGGTTGGCTTGGCGCGCGCTCCGACACTCCCTGCAGCCCCTGACCCACAAGGGCCACCACGCCAGCTCGGGTCACGACCTGCCCGCGGCGCGGGACGACACTCACGGTCGCCGCCGCCGCTGTTGCGGTTGTCGTAGCCGGCCCTTCTTCTCCCAGGGCGGCAGGTACCCGGCGTCGCGCGCCTCCTTGGCGTACGTGTCCACCAGCTTCTGGGCGGCCTCGCGCTGCTCCTCCAGGAACTCTACCTCGTCCAGGTAGTCGCCCACGTCTGGCAGCTTGAAGGCGGCTGCCGGCCGCGCGCGCGGGACGCAGGTCAGCATGGGCGACCGGTGTACACGATACGGACGCTGGCGGCCGGAGGGACGGGCGGCAGGAGGGGTAAGGAGCGGGCGCCGGCCGCACGACCATTCGCCACGTCGGCCGGGCGTCATCTGTCTCCTCCCGCCAACTCTGGACAAACTGGACGGCGGTCAACACGCCCATGACCGATGCCTAGCCGTCGGTTGGCTGTCGTCGGACAGTTAGCAGCATCGGGAGGTGGAGCCCACGCCGCAGCGCCAGAGGCCCCTGACTGGGTGCGCACAAACGCCGCAACGTGCGTAGACAGTGGTGAACTGCTTACCACGGAAGGCAACGCCACGGGGACATCAGACCACGCCGCCGCGCCAGAGGCCCTAGCCTCGGTGCGCACAAACGCTACAACGCGCGTAGGCAAAGATGAACTGCTTACCACGGAAGGCAAAGCCAGGGCGACACTGGACCACTGGACTGCCAGGTAACGATAGCACATCCAGTGCGATGAAATCGATACTGTTCGCGGGACAAAGTCAA